ATATGTATATGTATATGTATATGTATATGTATATATATGTATATGTATATATATATGTATATGTATATGTATATGTATATATATATATATATGTGTGTGTGTGTGTATGTATGAATATGCTAGGTATGTTTGCTGATCCAACAAAATGTATATGTTACTTTGCGGACATGACCTGGCAGTCAATAACCTTGGAGGTTTCGGACGCTTGTGACTCAAGCGTGAAAGTATATCACGAATTCGCGATGTGGCAATTAACATACGAATTTATAAAGGTGCTATTCATGTAGCATGATTGACCAATTCACTATTTTGGGAACTACGACCAGGTTCAGTGATCAGTAGCGTTGTATTGAAAAATTTAATCATTGTCCTAACTCCTCACGGTATAGACCCCTGGTAGTCCGAGACTCACTCAGAGCTCTAAACTGAGAAAATTACGAGCAGGCACGGGACACTTATTATGTACCGCCACAGGCCTGTAGGTTGCAATCCTTCAGTCCTACATTCCTTACAGTTCTCTGCCGGTGACTTCCTCACTATTTACAGTCTAATAGGGAGTTAGGGACTATGTACTACATACTACTGCTCACTCTACTCTACTCTCTAGAGAGAGACACACAGAGAGACACACAGAGAGAGACACAGAGAGACTTACAGAGAGATAGATACATAGATAGATTCTTCCACAGATACGTAAAATATAATTTACAATTTGATAAATATTTACAATTTGTATCAAATGCAAGAGCTTACAGAGAGTCTAAAAGATCATCGAAGAAGTGTACAAAAATAAAAATTTGATGATGTCAAGTTGTCAACTGTTATGGAGTCTATATATAATACTCTTCACTCCTCCCTGGAGTCATTGTCATGAGTCATGACTCACGACTCATGAATTCATGCTGGCCTGACGCCCTGACCCTGATTGCTGTTGGCCTGGGGGCGGGCCTGGGCGGCTGGGGCTGATCATAATAACTGATGGCCGATAGGAGTTTATGACTCATGTCTCATGGTCGTTTGTTTTGGTTTAAAAAATATAACGTCAATAATTTTAGGTCCTGCATGATACTTGAACATAGACGTTTAACGTATTTTCTTTCTTGTGGTTTGGAGGGCGGTTTGTTTATTTAGAATGGTATGCTATTGCCGTGGTTTTTAAAAGCAGCGTTTATTTGAGTGCCCGCAGCCCCCTTTTATATGAAAAGTCAAGAAGTTTAAGTGTTCAACGCTAAAGTCCTGCGGACTTGTGTCTATGGAGTATTGGACTCTTGTATCCGTCAGTCTATTTTTTTCTTCCCATGAGTACATGACGCAAATCGATACTTTTTCCGGAATTTGAAAAAATAAATAAAAAATAAAACGGCTAAAAACCCGAACGGCCGTACATACTGTATCAGTCGGCTCAGTCGGCTGGAGTTGCTTGACTGGCTGGAAAATCTGAAATTTCACCCAAAACATAAAATTGGGCCAGAATTCTAATCTAGAAAATTCCGGTGTAAAATATGCCGTGGAGTCCACTCGCGGAGCCTCCGGCGGAAGAACTATTTAGTATGTAGTTTTTGAGTTTTTTCTACATTTCAAACCCAGTAGAAATTTAGAATCCAAATAAGAAATGTATGTATAATTGTATTTGTAAAGTAGAAGGTTCATATTTTATCCGAAGAAGGACTCCAAAATCAAACCCACACATATCCATGATGAATCAATAATCATGATCCATTCATCTATTCTATTTGTATTTTACAATGTCACATAGCTCCGATGAATTACCATATATGGTATGCTTGCTCTACCGGAGCAATCAGTATTCTGACAAATCAATGAAAAGCATCCACGACCCGTCCGAGACTCCGAGCCTCCTAGGCCCGTCTCCCGAGTTCTAAAAAAATGCGTTTTTTACCTGCTCTTGTTGTGGACGTGGTAGGCTCACTCTAGAAGAGATAGTGGAGGCTGTGTGCCAGTTTGGCTGTGTAAGTGAACTGACAACTTGCACAGCAGACGAAAAAACATATTTATAAACGTATAAATACAAACTGCAGGCACCGAAAACAAGTATATAACATAATAATCCCAGTATCCCACGCGCTCTAAATTGTAGACTTTTCCACTCGTACAGAACAACTATAGCCATTATGAATTCGAAAGCCGCAATTGTCGTTCTTGTCGCTGCAAGTGCGCAAGCAATGTCGACACGACAAGCCAACACAACAACGGGAGTGCCATATATCGAGAATGCCGCTTTTGTGTGCGAAAATTCAAACCAGGCTCAGTGTGTAGAATTGGTATTCTGCGAATGGATGGACTACTCAATCAACCCCGATTGCTTTGAGAATGAGGACTTAGTTGAGCGCATAAATGATATTGCTTGTTATTCAGCAACCGAGGCTACTTGCGCTACCGATGTGCGTTGTGAATGGGATGACAACAAGTGTCAGGGACAACACGGTGCCGTGTCAGTTGTAAGTGATAGCGACGGCAAGATAATGCTAGACACTACTGGCATCACTGCACCCCCAGCAGGTAGTATGTATGTAGAAGTAGAAACTTTCTGCACCACAATTCTAGACAAAACTACATGTGAAGCGAACCAGTATTGTGAATTCGACGACGACTTGCTTGGCGATAGTACATGCAAGGGTGATGATGATAATGCAGAAGATACCAACGACATCGTATGTGCTCCTCTCACCCCAAAATTGTGTCTTGCCGATCTGCGATGCGAGCTGGACGATAATGTGTGCGAAGGTGGAGATTCCATCGGCATCGCGCCTGCACCTTCAACCACACTCGTTTCAACCACACCCGTTTCATCCATACCCGTCACAACCACAGCAGCAACAACAACCAGCATTCCTGCAGCAAGTAGCACGGATGCAGTTGCTACAACTACAGAGGCGGTTGTCCCTGGTACACCTACACTTGTGGTGCCCGAGGTAATTTGTGAGGCATATACGAATCAGACCATCTGTAATGCAGTCGTTTTCTGTGAGTGGGACGGTGGACGATGTGAGGCCGATGACGATACAGTAAAACTGATCAATGACGCTTCGTGTGTAAACCTCACCACCGAGGCTGCATGTGATGCCAACATTACTTGCGACTGGGACGACACGTATTGTGAAGGTAGTGATGACGCGATTTTGGTTATCACCAATGTCGATGGCTCGATCAGCGCCGTTATGACTGGGGTAACAGTACCTGCCAACGGTACCTACCAGAATGCTGACAAATATTGTGCGATGAACTACATCGATGAGGTAGCCTGTGGTACAGACAAGTACTGCAAATGGTACAATGGCATGTTGGGTGCCGATGACAGGTGTGAGGCTGACGATTCTCTCATCGAGGCTGAAAATACACCCCTATGCGCTGCGATGACATTGACTTCGTGTGCCGCTGATTTGAGGTGCGAGTACGATGACGAGAAGTGCGAGGCGGTTGACGATATGATCATTGTATAATTCGGAAATAATGATTCAGTATACATTTTTGATTTTTATTTGTATCGTACATAAAACACCTATTTGTGATTGACTACCTTATTTGTGTACTACACTTGGTTGTGCGGCACTGTTCGACGATGATTATGGTCGTGCCGATAATCACTTGGTCATGCACAGTTCTGGTTCTTCATAGATAGAAATTAATGTTGTAGAAGTACTGGCACTACTATTCTATCAACATCACTAATTCAGAAAACGTATACATACAAGTGATACAAAGTGCAGAAAAATAATTGTACACATATACATTTACACACAAACAAACACATATCTATATATACATACACACGCAAACAAGTATATATTTATATATATATATATAATATAAGCATACAAATAAACACATATTAATACATCGGTATATATTAGAGAAATTAAACCAGAAAAACACAAGAATACACCCACATTATATATATATATATAAATATATATAAATACAAAATAAACATATTAACACTTGCATATATACAATATAAATATATTAATTCATGCACGTTCAAAAAAACATATATAAATGAAAATACACACAGACACAGACTCATATATATATATGTATGTATGGATATACATGCATGAATACATTTGCAAATATATACAAAATATAAACAAGGCAAATATAATAATATTTATATTTCTTTATATACATATACGTATATATTTATATATATATATATATATATATACATATCTATATATCTTTATATATCTATACATACCTATATATATATATATATATATAAATATATATAGATATATATGTGTGTGTGTGTGCGTGCATACATATAAATGTATAGGAATATGTGTATAATATGAATAAATTATATGTATATATATATATATATATATATATGAAAAGACATACAAACACCCACACACATACAAATACACACACACGTATATATATATCTATATATATATATACGCATTAAAATATTTATACACATTAGTATAATATTTATACATACAAATATATATATATATATATACATATATATATATATATATATCTACATCTATATATGATATATATATATAGACAATATAGTATTATATGATATATATATATATAGATAATATAATATACTCTATATATAAAATATATATATAATTTAATATACAATATATATTCACAAATATATATACGAGAGCACACACATACACACAAAATTAAATATATATATAATTAATTACGTAAATAGAAACATACATACACTCACATATATACAAAACAGCTACAAACAAAACACAAACCCAAACACAGATATATAAAATGTATATATATTTGTATTTATAC